TCCTCACACATAAAACCAAAGTCATATAATAAACTGGGTAATGGTAGGCAAGTGCCCCTCAAATTAGCATTTCCAACTGCAGAATGTACCATTTGAGTCCCAGTCTGTGACAGGCTGAGAAAGGAACCGAAAGGATTTACTTAGCTCCTACAGAAAAAATTGCTTTCTAGCACTCAGACACTACCTTTTTCAGTAAAGCAACACAGTAATACCTGGGGGAGCAACTCTGATTCTTCTTAACTTTACAGATTTAATTTAAGCCTTCCCACTGTTCTTGCATTTCTTAGAACATCTGCACACATACTTCAAGCGAGGAGCCAGCAACAGAACCAGAAAACATTTAGCATTCTGGTTCTAGCAGTCATAGTTTCAATAATTACTGCCTCAAGCCTGCCCACATCAGCTCATTTTGGCTCCTCCTCTGAGAGCTTACCCCTCAGTACTTGCAGTAGTCAGTACAAGCCCCTCAGGCTTGTTTGCTTGGCTAGGCTCTAACCTAGATTTGTGAAAGGATTTGAATTAAAGTGAACCCATTTTGTTTTGAGGTGGGCTTTTTTTGCTAGTGATGGAATACTTCACATTATCATGCCCTAAGTGCAAACATTTTGTCAGTATCAATTGCTTGAGCTCCTAGATTTGTTCATTTACAATATTCCTGCTAGGGTACAGCTAGGGAAACATTCCCTTTCCATCAGCGCTAAGGCAACTCCACTGAATTCAACACAATTGCCTTGTATCAAGGAAGCCCAGAGAATTCAAGCCTGTTGTTGCAGAGCTGACGAACCCAGGTCAGATTCTTTTCTCAGTTCCGTTCAGTCCCCTGCAGAAGATCCCAGATGTTTCTGGAAATTGGCCAGATGTGCTTTATTCTCTGCTGAATTGAATACATCACCTACTAGCTGAAGTGGGTGCTTTCAAACAACTATTTCTACGTAGACGCCTCTAGTATTGATAAAAACGGTGGAAGAGAAGGTAAAAGAGGGGAAGTTTTAGCTAATTAAGTTTTCCATCAGGTAACTATACTACTTTAGTATAGTAGTTTCCATCACGTAGCTATACTACTTTAGTTAATCAGAATATGTGGATTAAAGTAAAGTATTAAATTCTTACTGGTAGTTCTTGTGCAACCCATTTAGACTCTACACAACAAAATTTTATCAACTGTATTTTTTTTTTAAATTTTTAGTACTAACGGAAAATTAACAGATGCATAACAAAATCTCTGCCTTATTCATGGAGCAGGTTGCATAGAGGCCTGTGAGCATACCATTTTCTCCAGTTGCGCTTACAGTATCCACTACAATTCACTAATGGACAGTCAACATTTATAAGAAAGACTGTTCCCCCCAGTCCATAATTTCAGTTTCAGATTTCTCAAAGGTCTGCAATGAAGATTCTCTTTAACATAGAGCATACTTTATTTCATTGTGGCAGAAATATATTTAACTAGTAAGATTTTTCTTTAGAATTACCATGTTATTTTTTAAGATGTCCAACCAGGCAATCTAGTAGTCCTACTAAAATTTGCTTTACAGGGAAGAAGTCTTACACAGCAACATCCTTGGAAAAGGATTTTCTGCATTAAAAACTTACACATTTGTGATACACAGCAGACCATATCATCTACTAGACAGTGTCATCTAGCAGTACAACACAAATATTCTGGAAATGCAGCAGGTCGTCCCTATGGTTTGTTGCGGAAGCACTATGAGAACAGACATAGCACCCTCTCTCTGCAAAACCCCTGTACACGTTCAGACAGCCTCCTGATGGACTCTGATCGCACTGCATCATTTATGCTGGCGGAGCCAAGAGCTACGTCCAGATAGGAAGTCATTTAACTCTGACACCGTTCAGCAGTTTGCAGATTGAAGCCCAGCAGAGGGAGCCAGAGAACTGCGACCGGCCAGCTATCTCCCAGGGCCTTTGCAAAGAGAAAGGGGTCACTTGCGCAGATGGAACAAGAACTTATTGACATGAAAAGTTTTTTATTCTTTTTTCCTGTAAACTCAGGATTTGATCTTGACATCCTTGAGCCTCAAGATCTCGCTGCAGTCTTGCCCAGGCTTTCAGACACTAACTTTTTTTTACACAAACACACATGGGATGGCATCTGCAAATCCGTGATTGCCATACCTAGAAAAGTTTTAGGTGCATGTGCTGCAGAAAACAACTATAAGTAAAAGCAAACAGATCTTCAGCTTTCAGTATCTCATTCTAATCACATCGGCTCCCAGAAACAAAGATCAAATTTTGCTCTCACTTATAAGTGTGCAGTTCTATAAAGCTGTACTAATTAGGGCTATATTATACACACTGTAATTGCTACACTTTATAAATACTCATAGTTTTGTACTTTCCTGCACTTCACGCAGATCTCATGATGCATTCCAGCCTAGAGACATGTTGGCCTGCTCAGCAATCCCTCCCCATTTGTTTTTATAGTTCTCATAGGTTGTTTATATTACATCATGTTTGGCCTAAATCCCTTTTCTATTCCAGAGGGAGTGAGAGTCAGGGAATATTACATAAAATAAAAACCAGTCTTGCCTTAGAGCAACATTTGCTGCTCGTCATTAATGCTGCATGAACAGTTCGGATTGTATGTGTACAGAAGTAATCTCCCAAGGCCTTCCTCAAAGTTAAGATTAGCATTACCAAGGCTAGGTGGTGTACAAAATCAGAACAAAAAGCCAGGCACTGGTCCAAAAAGGCTTTAAAGCCATACCAACCAGAATTTCACAAGTCACGAAAATCTTCACAGGCCTCCTGCTTAACTTTTGAGAACTTAGAGCTTATTAAAAAGTCTTTTTAAAGGAATATTTTGTATTGCTATTTTCTTAAAACAGCAACAGCTGCTTTTTATTTATTTATTTATTTTTAATCAATGCAATCTACACTGACAGAAAAACACCAGAACATGTTCCAGCAAAAGCAGACTTGATATCACCAAAATTCCTATTGTAAAACACAGGAAAGAAAAGTCATTTAAAGAAACAGAAGTTCGTGCACTCTGTTCCATAAAGCCAAAAAAGTCACTTTCAAGAGAACTTTGTGTTATTACATTGATTCGCACTGAAGTACAACTTTGGACAGGAGGTGCTATAGCTTGCATAAATATTATGATTAGGAAACCTCTATAATTAAATTGCACTAGAAGCAAAAAGATAAGGTCAAAAATAAACATTCTGAGTTCTGCAGCAGCGCTGATGAGAGGACTACAGCACTGCTGAAAAGATTTCTAAGAAAGCCTCAAAGAAAAAAAGCGTTGCGTTCATGTCTGTGAGGGACTTCAATACTTAGCAAAAGAAGAGGAACAAAGCATGGAAGCTGATGGGAAAGACGCAGCCAGGCAGAGGATCTGCACCAGTGCGGAAAGCTCTCTGCCCACCTCTCAGTGAAGAATATCAAGGTTGGCTACAGTGTCAGCGGTTTTACTGGGCTCAAGGTGAAACACCAAAGCAGGACCAAAGCCCTTCACTAGGTTAATGCCATCTTTTAGTTTTCTGTCTTTCTGTCTAGGTTCTTACATGAGCACCTAACATAGTAGCTATTGAATACGTTCGCCTGTCCTCCACGTTGGCCCTGCCTGTCCCTGACTGTACCCATCAGGATTTCATACGCACTATTGCACTGGGAGAGTTGGTCTGGATTCTAATCTGGGACACTTAGCAAAAGGTAACAACATTCAACAGTAAATCAGAGAAAACAGTCTGGCAGACTCATTCACTTCTGGATTTCTTCACTCTCACATCCCCAGCTTTTCGTTCGAAAGCAATTAACAAGTGGCTTGAAGAACAGATCCACTGCAGGTGTTTTATGACAGACTAGATTTTTCTTTCACATTTCCTTCTCTGAAATAATCAAATGTCTGTAGCCTGCTAAAGCTAAGAACTAGATGTCAGTTCAAGGCCAGGAGTAGACTGTGGGAGAAATTCTTATCTCAGTTACACAAGTGTGAATCTGGAGTAACTCCAGTTATTAAACAATCTATAAAATAAGGATAACAACCACTATTTCAAAAAGCTTTTGTGATAGTTAACTACCAGCAATTAATGCTGGTGCAGAATTCAGGAGCCTGGGAATGAAAGGCTCTATAGAAATTCTAAGTACTCTTATTATTTCAGCCATTCATAATTATACTTCTTGATCTAATCGATTTATTGTACTTGGGGTGCCCATCAATGCTCCCTGCAGATCCTAATCTATTACGCCCCTGACTGATTCACCAGGCTCAGTAAAATTAGTCCCGTTTTAACTGGAGAAAAAAAAAAAAATCGACCTTTTTCTAGAAGCCATTCTAGCCATAGATGCCATCCATGTGAAAGTCAAAATTCATGAACACAAGGCAATGGGGGAAGAAGGCAGCAGAATTTGAATATATGTTGTTTAAAATGCCTGGATTTAAAAATCATTCTATGGCTGCCAAGTCAGACTAAATTTAACCTTTCGTGTAATGGAATCTCTTGTACCTTTAAGAATACTCAAACTACAGTAGGGGTTAGATTTCAGAGGGAAACTGTCAACTGAATTATGCTAATCAGTAATTAGTTAGAAGAATCTACTGATGCTTATGATTTGACAACTATGTCATCTTTAAATATTTCTCTTCTCTTCTGTAAGGTGCTCCCACCAACAATGTTAAGTAATTATATGTAATGAACCTGACTATAAGCACAAGGGTATAAAATGCACTGAATAAGTATTTTACAAAAATATACAATTTAAGAAATATATATTTCAATTTCACCCATTCTAGTATAAATAATTTCATAAATTAAAGGTGCAGATGCGTAACTTAAGTTGGTGTCTCTGGAGCACAGTGACAACTGTTTTTGAGTTAACACATTTCAGAAAACTGTTTCTTGATAGAGTATTTTTTAGATTGCGCGTTCTGACATTTAAAATCAGTTCTTCAAGAAATTATAATCCCCTTCTGGCTCCGCTTTTTATTTTTCAGAAGGTTTAAGAGCAACATTAGCACAGCTGTTCAGGCTTACCTTTTCAACATCCCTCTTCCAGTGAACATGTCTGCCTTTTCCACATCAGTTTCAGCTGAGCTGAAGCTAGAAGAAAGTCTCCACTAGAGCAGACATAAAAATGGCATCATCATTCCCAGGTACGAAACAGGAAGACCAGCTTATCACCAGCAAAGCAAGGAAATCACCTGTATTGCAAAGTGCTATCAAAAACATAGTAGAAACTACAGTATTTGGTATCTCCTAGGATCATGAGATATGTGATTTCATGAGAATATATGTTTTTGAAAACACAGCTGGAATGTGCTGGAGTTTAAAAAAAGGAAAAGGAAAAGAAACATCTAAGAAATGCACGTTATTATTTTGGGGCCAGACTCATAACTTCTGAATGGTTGCCAACACTACAAAAATCATTAAAATGTGGGGAGAGTGTAGGGTCCTTTACCCCATTTTCTAAAACTAGAAAGTCTTCTTAGTAATTATTCTGAAGTATACTAAATCTAACTTGGTGGTTACAAATGGAATTTTTCCATGATCATTTACAGGCCTAGGTTTTACTGCAAGACATGAGACCTAGATCTGCACACAGTAAAATGTATGTATTACGATACGGAAAAATGCACCAGGAACTTTACAGAATGTTTATAGGACAATATCTAGGTCCACAAAACAAACTTCTCAGCTTGCTCTCAGCTGTTCCAGAGAAACTGTTTCTTAGAAAAAGTAATGATTTTTCATATACAGCAGTTGAGTAACTTAACTAAGTAAACACTCACAGCATTAGCTGAGAAGCAGAGTGAGAGAATCAACCCTGGTCAGCTAAGGCTGGCATTTGCAGAATACATTTTTAATGAAAATGACACTATATATTTGAGATGAACATACTTGTTAAAACACAGGAGAAGCAGACTTTAGGTAGCAAGCCTTTTAAGGCATTTGCGAAATTCCCTCTGATACAACAGCTGCAGTATGTGAATACAGGCAGATTGACATCGTCTTACATTTGAATATAAAGCCGGCTTCTTCAAACAATAAAGAAATTCATATCCTGCTTCTAGCTGGAGGTGATTAGAACCATAACCCGACACACAGTGGGCACAGAGAAACATCCTTAATCTGCCAGACATCCTTCCTTTGGGAGTTCAACTAAATGCTGGAAGCAGACACGTTCAAACACGTGGCAGTCAGTATTTGTATGTTTGTTTTAAATTAGTTTGTCTTAGTTCCTTCACATACGATAAGACTGAATGCTTTACTGTGGGCTGTCTAGGATGAAACACCAAACCTTTAAAGAAGTAGGGTACAAAGGAGGCTTCTGCTCAGAGATAGGGGAGGATATAATCGTGTCCCTCACCTCCTTTCGTGATCTTCATTTCTATCTGGTGTTAAAACTCAGCACAGAAAGATGAGAGACCAGCAAGCGTGCGGAGGACCCAGGATGGAAATTAAAGCTCACTGCTCAGCAACTGAGCCATTAACTCCTTCCACAGGATTTTGGAGAGGGTGAGAACTACTCCAAGCCTATCCCACCCTATGCACCACCCCAGAGAAACAGCCAAATCAGCAGCCAGTTACTGCTTCCCAGACACACACACACACACAATCATCACAGAACAGTTGAGGGTGGAAGGAACCTCTGGAGATCTAGTCCAATCCCCTCAGCTCAAGCAGGGTCACCTAGACCACATTACCCAAGACTCTGCCCAGACAGCTTTTGAAGATCTCCAGCGAAGGAGACTCCACAACCTCTCTGGGCCACCTCACCTGTGCCAGTGCTAAGTCACCCTCACGGTAAAGAAGTTTTTCCTCATGTTCAAACAGAACTTCTCTTCCTGATGCAGCCCAGGATACCACAGGCCTTCTTGACCACAAGGGCACATCGCTGGCTCGTGGTCAGCTTGTTGTCCACCAGGACTCCCAGGTCCTTCTCGGCAGAGCTGCTTTCCAGCAGGTCAGCGGCCAGCCTGTCCTGGTGCCTGGGGTTATTCCTCCCCAGGTGCCGGACCCTGCACTTGCCTTTGTTGAACTTCATGAGGTTCCTCTCTGCCCATCTGTCCAGCCTGTCCAGGTCCCTCTGACTGGCAGTACGGCCCTCTGGGGTATCAGCCGCTCCTTCCAGTTTTGTATCATCTGTGAACTTGCGGAGGAGGCACTCTGTCCCTTCATCCAGGTCACTGAAGAATAAGTTAAACAATATTGAACCCAATACTGACCACTGAGGGACACCACTAACTACAGGCCTCCAATTAGACTCTGTGCCACACACTTCACATCCTCCTACACAAGCAGCATGGGTCTGCACAGCAGATGAGGCAGTGGCTAGGATCATTTTAACTGCTCAGTAGTTTTCTATAGAGCAGTCAAATGTTTCGAGCAACGTTACCACTCCTCACACAGACGAAAATGTGAGCTGAAGAGAGAATACCGTAATGGAGAGCAGCCAGTCATGTGCCTTGCCGTGCACCTCAAAACTTTCAGTTGTCCTAAACCTGCTTGTAAAGATGTATCCTCAAGACTGTAAAACTCTTGTGGCATACTTCATTCCCTCAATGTAACAGTCAAGTATAGACCTTTTGCTCTTTCCTGCTAATTCAGTGTAGAAATAGCAAAGTGTAGTAATAGCAAAGGCCATTGACTATGCAACAGTCGCTTAATAGCTAACAATACATTAACAAGGCAAAATTGAAATATAAGGAGTCTTATCTTTTTAATGTAAAAGTTATCTAAACACTTTCTTCCTTATGGAAGAGTCTCAAACAATTAAATAGAAAAAGGTAAGCCAAACTACATCTACAGCAGGACATTTTTAAGTGTTATTAAAAGATTTCTCAAGTTCCATAGAAACTGATTAGATTTCATTAGAATACCATTAATTCCCGTGTAGTTCTTCAGGTTTTAGATTAAAAGGCATAACGCAAACGTATATAATATCAAGTCATGAACAGAAGCAGCATATAGAATACAAACAGTCATAAATTAAATTCAAGGTATCGATTCTTCCATACTTTCTGAAAAAGAAACAAACATTGGCAAGCAAGTAGAAAAAGCGATCCTGAATAACTTTGTTTCAGAACTATGCACAAGTAATTTTGTTAGTTAAGATCCATTTAGCTATGTCTATACACAGGCAAAACATTAAAAATCCTTACATTAGTAAACATAGTTAGGAAAAGCTGTAATTGTGATTGCCTGAGTAGTTGTTCTGTGGTCCTTTGGGCACAGGTATTTTATTAAAGGCTTCAAGTCCTTCATGCTATTTCCCCCCCCACACAGAAATTTTAAGAGTTAAGCTACTAATATCAAAGTCTTCTCTGAGCATAGTTATAGCTATTCCTCTGCATAGCTATTCCCCTCCCTAGCTGGTAGTTGAAGAGCTATTGAAAGACCGGATTGCAGGATTTTTTTTTTTTTTTTAAAACATAGGCAAAACAATATCTAGTTTTCTGAAAAGAGCCATAGGAGTCTGACTCAAATTTTACCAGAAGTAGAAACACGAGAAATACCCGTTATGCAAACATCCTAGCTCTAACACTTCACTGTGAATTTAAAAGTGACTGAGAAGAGTCAGAAAAGGAGCAACCGCTAGATGAGCGGGATGGCCGCTCCTCCTCCCAGCCTCGGCCCCGTCCCCCGGCTCACGGAGACGACGGCTGGCATTGCCGCAGGTCCCGAGGCAAAGCTAAAACTTCGTCCTAATACGCACCTCACCTTTTTTCACATCGGAAGCGGAGAATTACTGCTAACAGAGCCGGGCCCGGGCTCTGCCGTCAGGCGGCGGCAGGGGCGGGCTG